ACAGTCAGCGAGTCCTGGAGCTACCGCCGAGTTAGCCAGCAACTAGTCAGTTGTATTGTGGCATTTTTCAGTGTACTAATTGTGATACTGCAGATAGCAGTAATCGTCAGATTGTAATTTGGGTGATTGTGAGAGCGGATGTGAAATAAAATTCGCTACATCGAATACATCGTGAATTTATTTGTCGCGATATACGCCCGATACGCGACAATATACTCTTAGAGATAAGAAATACTATATTCAAAATTCGCGGGGTGACCGCTATGATAGAACAAGATGCTTATAAGAATGTGCTACAGCGAGCCGGATGGGCGTTGTCTACGCCATTTTTGTATATACAAGATCCCCCCCCCCCCAAATAAAACAGAGTGCTTATTACAAGTGCTCGTACAACGGCGATTATTTCCCTAAAGAGCAGCAACTGGTTGGTCCATAATGGAGACGCAATGTGTTTCCTATGAGGTACGGAATGAATTTATAAATGTTAATTAAATGACTAACACGCTTCAAAGATATAGGAGTTACGGTCATTGAAAAGACAACAAATTTACTCAGTTTTACTTTTCGATCTTTATTCCTTCTAAATGGCAGCTATATATAGGAATAGGCCGCGCTATAGCTCAAGCGGTTAGTCGCTGGCTTCCCACCGCGGCGGTCCGGGTTCCATCCCGGGTCTGGTCAAGTGGGATTTGTGGTGGACAAAGTGGCGCTGGGGCAGGTTTTCACTGAGTACTTCGGTTTCCCCTGCCAATCTTCATTCCACCAATTGCTCCACAATCACCCTCACCTATCATCTGGGGCTGGTACAATGGGCCAGAAGTCTATAGTCACTCTAAAACCGTGTTAACATCAAACACGTTTCTTTATACAACGCGAAGACCAGATTTGGTATGAAGGGACAGAGCAGGTTAGAGTGGCGGTGCACTCAGCACTTGAATTCAGGCGGGGATCCATCAGGTTCTTACGCAGAACAGCAACTGTTTATTGATGCGTTTCTTGGTATTCCTCAGTCCCTTCGATCTGGCTTCTTTCAAATTCGTCATCCTTATAGTCGACGCTATTACGGTACCAGTAATGACAGAGTCGATTAGAAAATTAAAGGGGGAAAATAAAAAATGAAGACTTATGAACAAGCCTCAACAAAAGCCTGCCTCACGTATAACGGCCACAGGCGGACACCGACAGACTTTCGGAGACAACGGAGACGTTCAACAAACTTACACGTTAAGCCTCGGCCGTCTTGCTGTAACTCTGACGCCTGATTCAACGCCCGTAACATTCAGCGCTAGAGCAAGGCGCGTTATAAAGAAATGTGTAAAGGTAACGTCGTCCTTGTGCTCAATTAATATTTGGAGGCTATTTAACGACGCTCTGGGTAGCTAGATGGTAGGACGTAGAAGGGTCACAAGATTGATGAACTAGAAAAGATGTGGAATGAAGTAATCGTGACCTAATTAGAGGCACTATCCCAGAATTTTACAGGTGGAGCTAAGGAAAACCAATAGTATTCCTGGCAGAGATTCGAACTCAATACCTGTCCAATAGGAGCCTAAAACTTTATCGCTGTGTAAAAACCCTTACCGAAGAAGAACTATACCACGAAGACGTATGGAGAAACGGAGGCCCAGCTCCACGCATTCTTAACCTCGGCACTAAATTGAGATGATCAGCATCATGCTCCGATCGTTTTGACTAGGGGGCAAAGAGACCGCCATAGCCACTGGTGGATCCCAGGGCCGGTCTGGACGCGAAACAAGACACCAAAGGGACAGCTCTGCTTGCCACATGCTTCCACGTTGGTTTCTTGATTGGCCTATTCTTCGACTCTGAAAAAAATGACATGTTCCTCCGAAACGTCGGTTGAATTTCAAAGGCTTTATATCGCAGAAGATATAACTTTTAAGATGGATAATGAACTTAGAGCTCCAATCAAGACAGAAATATTCGCATTGGGGCACTGAATTACGAGAAAATAAAGTCATTAACATCACTAACGCTGCCAGTTGTGAAAACTTAAAATGAAGGAAGGGAAATTTTCACGAAATTCCCCCGAGGAATTCATGGAAAAGTGGGTGCGAGTTCGACGCCCGTCACCCTGAGTAGGCTTGCTGAGAGAAATGTTACACAGTGCACAAGTGAGGTAAACAGAGGTTCTTACTTACTTACTTACGCATGGAGCTGAGCCCTTATTGAGGAGCCGCCAATTCTGCAGCTGCTCAAGAATTGTTCACAAGAGCCCTCCACTGGTCTCTATCCTGAGCCAGATTTATCCCATCCATACCATCCCATCCTGTTTCTCTAAGATCCATTCTAATATTGAAACAGAGGTTCTATTTGAGGGAATTTACTGGTTAAAAACTTCCTTGACACTTAGTGCTGGTGCGAAGAGGCGGGTTCCTACCTTCGGATCCTGTTCATCCTCAGGGCGTTTGAAATTGTACAGTTCCTGGAGACGAGAGTACAGGTCGGCGTTCTCGTATAAACCTCGGAACGGATTCCTGGTACTGAAGAAATCAAGGTCGACATCCAGGATGAAGGGGTCGCCCTCACGCGCTATGTATTGGCGGAACATCTTGCCCACTTCCTGGAAATCGTCCTTCTGTAATAAAAACAAAGGAGGGACACCCATGACAAGTTGTACAGACGACAACAAAAACATTTAACTCATTACACACCTTGCAACGTAAAAGGCAAACTTCTTCCTGTGCTTAATTAACATATAGGGGGAGTGCAAGTATAGGCCCACATTCTCGACCTCGGCACCAGATGTAGGTGCTCAGCTTCACGCCTCGGCAGCTTTACCCCCGGTACCAATTGGATAGGAGGATGGGTGGGCCTCAGACCCGGTCTGGACTCTATGGAGAAGATATAAATTTGTACTCTGCCGGGAATCGAACCCCGGTCCGTCGCTATACTGACTGAGATATCCCGGCATTTACACATAAACTTATCGTTGTTCATGTATCTAATTATTAAGATATGAGTGAGTGGAGTTGTGTCACGTCTTCCTAACCTCAGAACTGGGTGATGGTCAGTTTCATGCTTTCAGAAGAAGATACACGTATATATATACATATACTCTTCTGCTTAGAATGACTGATACTATTGGCCTTTCCTCCTGGGACATTCTGTATATATAATTATTTTTAATTCTTTTACTGGGGGGTGGAGTCCAACTGGGTCCACTCGGCACGGCGGCCACTGATTGGCCTATTGTAGCCTGCCCCGGGTGATTATGATGATGGAGAATTTAGTGGAATGAAGATTGGCAGGAGAAACCGAAGTACTCGGAGAAAACCCGCCCCAGCGCCACTTTGTCCACCACAAATCCCACTTGACCAGACCCGGGATCGAACCCTGTATATACGTATAACTAAACGGTTTAAAGTATCCGCGTCGCAATTTTCATATAAAAGGATGAAACAAACAAATGCTATGTTAATATTTGTACGTACATCCGAGCCGTGGTAGTTCTAGGTCAGCATGTTGCTGTCTCGTGCTTGTTTCTTAAAAGAACTCCGTGGCTCTAGCCCGCAAATGAACTATACCGACCGAGCGACCGCAGTTTGTCGGCGAAGTTAGTGCCAACTTTAGCGGATAGAGGGTGTCGCGTGGTCAGCGCAACGGATTCTAGACCGGAGCCATTGCATTTTCAATCAAGTAGCTCCTCAAATTTGTATCCCCACGGGGCTGAGTGGACCCCGTTCCAGACCACTACTTCACAGAAAATCTTGTAGTGCCGGGAATCGAACTCGGGACCTCTGAATCTATAGCTAGGAACTCTGACCACTAGACCACAGAGGCCATCGCCTACTTGTTTCTTAGGTGTCGGAAAGGTGGAGTTCTGCCATATCTCATCCTCCTTGACTTGATAACTTTAATTATAATTTCTCATAATCATTTTTTCGCCTAGGGCGTTTCTGCAAAGAATCCGTCCAGGTCCGAGCCTTCTTGTGATCTTCCGTAACAAGCTTCTTTTTACGGTGAGGAGTTGTTAGCCCACGCCTAACCCAAAACCTGGAGGCCCGCCCCTTGTCGGCTTTCCGCGATTGCTTATTCAATATACTCGCAGCTACCCTCTATATCTTTGAGGCCGTCTCCTCCATCCGCAACCTGAGGACGCGCCATGCCGCGGTGACAAGGGCCCACCGAACATGCACGCACTTCATGCAATATTAGATTTAACGTTTTATCAGAAATTATGACACGCATTTTTAGTACGGCATATTTGCTCAATGCAGGAACCGTGGAGCTAGAGAAACAGCCATTGCTAGGTATCGGTTGCGTAACACGCAATAATGGATTAACTGTTGGAAGCGGTGTTTTCTGTGCGGCCCGTGCTGGAGCTATATAACGATGACCATCTTCCAAAGCCTCTACTGTCCGAGGATTTTTATATAGTACACAAGGAGAATTTCCAATAACACGCTATATGTCCGATAAGTACACTTGTCGAAAGGCCAAGCTTATTCATAAGAGATAACCTCACCTTTTCGTCAGAGAGGATGCTACATAAGGACTATGACAGTAAGTGTTTAGTTGCAAAAAATATTATGTATGTGAGTCTCAAGGGACCTGGCGCCTAGATATACTGATTGGCGGTAAACCGACCGCCATAGAGTAATTTTGACCTTCACTCTCACCAAGGGACAGTCTCGAGACGGCAGGTAGAATAGTGAGAGGTTTGTGTGAGATGGCTGTCAGCCTGCGAGGACGTGATCCCGGGAGTAGAGGAACGTCCACTGTTGAAGCCGTTACCAAGCAACACAGTGAAGACTGTAACTGAGCACACTAGTGTTTATGTGACAGTAATGTGAAGAGTGGTGTTACGAGTTGCGTGTTCAGGTGTCGAATAAATCCCATTACCAATCCAAACCCCGTCTATACTCTCTTGTCACGTGATAATGTCTATATACACACTCGTACAGTCTATATATATGGAGTGTACAGTTTCATTGTTGAGGCACGCGGTAGTGTAGTTGATTGAGGTACTATGCTACAATCCCGATGAGGTCAATGGATTCTTCAACTGACCTAATCCTTCCAGCCGCACTAGGCCCTGAGGTCGAGTCAGCCTCTAACAGAAATGAGTACCAGGAATCTTCCTGGGGGGTAAAGGGCGACCGGCGTGTCAGGCTGACAACCTCACCGCCATCTGTGAGCGGAGTGTCTAGAAAATGTGGATGCCTCGACGTCTCACAACCCTACGGGCTTCCACTGCCTGTTAGAGGGATAGCTTTACTTTTTACCGACAGCTTGAGGAAATAAACCACAAAAAAAATTATGGAAAACTTCCTCCTGTCTAGCGACCACTACGAGTCTGTGTGGAGTTATACTTCAAACTTCGGGAATGACGTAAGGCAAAGATTATCACGGGTTCCTGTTCCTTTTGCAGCAGCGATCATCAGGTCACGTCATATTCCGTTTATAACGGGGACGTTATCAGCCTTAACGGATGTGACGAAACCTGACTACGGAAACAAAGGAAGGCGACAGACTTCGGATACAACCCACTTCTAAAGAGTTCTGAATTGTCTGTTTGTAGCACAAAAAAAAACATCACATTCATTTCATTTTTTTTTTCTTTTCACAAACTTCTGTCCCGTTTCATAACCTATTCATATATATTAATGGCATGATAGGACTTAAGTGTTCCTAATAAATCCTCGGGACGTCATCCAAGCACACGGGCAGCTGTTGCTGATGAAACGTCGAGGGGGGGGGGGACTTTTTTGTTTCTTCTGCAGCATAATATCATGTATAAAAACAACACAAAGCTCCAATAGGACAGTTGTGTATTTTTTGTCCATCTCACGTCCATGTGTGGCAATTGTTTTGTACGCGTACTGTCACTGTACACGTCGGTTTCCTGAGGAGAGACCTTGGGACTCCATGCAATGTGGGCCCACGGCATAGCGCAGAAATTCAGGGATGGACATTCTTGCCCTTTCGACACATACACATTATTCACAGAGATATTGGGTCTTCGGACTTTATCCATCGTCCTGGTTTTTAAGATAACTAAGAAAAACACGACGTTTCGGAAACTGGATGTGTTCCGTCCTCAGGTGAGGGAACACATCGGTTGTCCAGTGACTAAGGGACCCAACAGAATAGGTGTTTTCCCTCACCTGACGAGGGAAACAGATCCAGTTTCCGAAACGTCGTGTTTTTCTTAGTTATCTTAAAACCAGGACGATGGAGAAAGTCCGAAAACCCAATATCTCAGTGTGTTATACACCATCGTCAGAATCCTATAGTAACTACTTATACACATTATTGTTTCAACAAATTAAACAATATAAGATAAAACAATACAATAATTTTGCTTGTGGTTCTATATGGGTATGAAACTTGGTCTCTGACATTAAGGGAGGGTGACTGAGGGTGTTTGAGAACAGGGTGTTGAGAATATTTTGACCGAAAAGAGATGAATTGACAGGAATTGGAGAAAACTGCATAATGAAGAGCTTCATAACTTGTACTCTTCTTCAAGTATAATTAGAATGATCAACTCAAAGAAGATGAGGTGGGCAAGGCATGTAGCACGAATGGGGAAGAAGAGGAATGCCTATAGGATATTGGTGGGAAAGCCAGAAGGCAATAGATTACTAGTAAGACCAAGGCGTAGGTGGGTGGACAATATTAAAATGGATCTTAGAGAGACAGTATGGGGTAGTATGGATTGGACCGATCTTGCTCAGGATAGGATCAAGTGCAGGGCTCTTGTGAACATGGTAATGAACCTTCGGATTCCATAAAATGCTGGGAAACTCCTGAATAGCTGCAGAATTGGCAGCTCCTCAAGAAGGGCTCAGGTCCATGAGTATGTAAAAAAGTAAATAAGATAAAGGTAAAACAGACCTTGTACTTAATTGATTAAGAATCACGCCGCGAAGCCTTATGTGGGGGTGGAGGTATAGCTCCAACATCCTTGACCTTGACACTAGATGGAAGTGAGTGGTCAGAGGAGAGCAATCAGGTAGCTGATAACTTAAGCAGACAGACAGTTATGGTCCTATTATCAAGCTTATCCGTCATTATCTCTGTAATTTATGCAGTCATTTTCACAGATAGTTTTTAATATTTAGTCATATAGTCATGGATGTGACTAGTTTGTTATATTAGTTACGTTTATGTGGTTAATTTATCTAGTATATTATGAAAAAAAAACTTTTATTTTTCTAATTAATCAGTCAGCTATGACAACTCGTGTGTTGCTACTTGCACCAATTATTTTCAACATATAAATGTAATTAAAGCTACAGACAAACACACATTATTTGTAATGAACCGGCCAACATGTTTATGTTTAGCCCCCAGAAACATGCTGTTCGCCGCAGGTTTCACAAAACCTGTCAACTTCCGCTAATCATAGGTTATAATGATAATGTATTTGGGGAAATATGGGCAAACAGACGTACAGACAAGCCGATGTACATTCAGTTCGGTAACAGGATTCTGACGTAGTAAAATATTACTTGGAAACGAACTGAGCTTTGATTATTTAGCGACACTGTTTCGTTGAGAAGATGACCATTAATGGTGACTGCACAAGGATTTGTGCCGATCCCAGTGGCCGCGCGGTCTATGGCACGA